TCGCCTAAGCCACTTTTTATACATTGTGGTCAACTAATTAAAATTTTACCAAAGTCTTTGAAAACTGATCTTAAGCCAAGTATCTTATTTCCGATTTTCTCTGAGCGACCAATCGGATGCGTCACTTCAGCCCCCTGCCAATATGTACACCATTCGTACGTCGTAATATGATTGTTTTTGCTGCCTTGTGAAATTAAATTTTCTCTTACCGGGCGGCTTTTGATTTTGCATTTAAATTGGCACGTGCCACACAGGCAAACAGCTGGGTAAACCTCAGCGGAACTCGTGCACCGGGCTTCAACTGGGAATGCTGTGAGTGCAAAATGAAAAAACAACTTACTGCCGCCTAGAGGCTTTTGCATTGTATATGGTTATTTGACAGTTTTTCAATGACATTTTGCGAACTAGGGACAAAAAAGCTCCCAGCTGAGAATTGAAGGTAATTTTTTGAAGCTAAACTTTGCTTTTGACATTCAGTTCAATATCAAATGTTAAGTTGATGACAAGTTACTTCTGTCGAAGCCACAGAAATACTTTCGTGACAATAAGCAAAGATAATAAACAGTTTAAGGTCTTAGATGAAATCAAGTAAATATCGATATCAAAATATTATAAATTCATTAAACTAAATGTGAAAGGCATTAGCAACTAATAACTTAAATTGGAGAATACAAATTTATAAATATATAGAGAATAGTGCTTGTAAAATAAACACTTATTATCAGCATTTTGAAATGAATATCTTGTCAGTTTCAAGTCTAATTTACTTAAGCTGACTACCGAACAACAGATGAAAGCTACATGCCTAGTACAACAACTCAAATAAAGATTGAATCGTAATGTATAATTGAAATAAATCACTTGACAAACGATGCTTGCAGCAAAAATCAGCAATGAAAATGTCTGAATGGCCTGAATAAAACTGTATCGCAAAGTCAGGCAAAACGAATGCCAAGGAAAGAAAAAATCATTGTTAACACTAATCATGAGCTTGCATAGCAAAGTGGGTGAGAGGGCGAGAGAAACGCAAAAGGTCTCACAATATTCGAATCCACTAACCTAGGCAAGAAAAGTTGAGACACTCACAATCACTCATTCGCACTCGCACTCGCACTCGCAGTCGCAGTCGCGCTCACATTTGTATTCGCACTCGCACTCACGCTTCCTATTCCGATTCCGAATCCGAATCCGTTTCCGCCTTCACACAGCGTCCCTATTGTGCTCGACGATTGGTTCAGCTTGTTGTTAAGTTTCCTTGCGTCACTGGACAGCATCGATTTTCCTATTTTTTCGGGTGTGTGCGTGTGTGTGTGTGCGGGGGGAGGTGAAGCTGTCACCGCTTTTTTTCTGCTGCCTGCTTGCCTATTATTGAAGCCATGAGTTTATAAAGCTCTTTCGAAATGTTTTGACAAATGATTTTGTTTGTATTTTTCATTTCATCGAATTTGCCAATGGCCACCAATTGCGGCCTGGCGACAAACTCGGTCAGCACTCACACACGCAAGCCGTTTGGGGAGGGGATTGCTTAGTTTGGGGAGGGGAATAAATAGATAGCTAACCGCCAGAGTTAGATATTTGGTAAGTTTGGACTGGCCCCAAAATGCTCTGCACAGATCATCAACATTGATTTCAACTTGAAGCACTGTATCATCAACAATTTCCCCATCTAGATGGACCCGAAATTGTCCTCAATGACATCGCCGCCTGTCGTCGGATAGCGTCTTCTTCTTCGACTATTTCTAGAGCTCAAATAAATTGTTTGTCATTATGACTTTCAAAGTTGTTGCCCACTTTCCAGCTGGCCACACATTTGTCAAGTATGTCACTGACTTAAAGCTTAACTTGACTTTAAGAATTAATTGTCAAATTATATCCACTCAATTGCAGCCAATTGTACAAATTTGTCTAGAAATTTTGTGAAATATCCTTTTCAAAATGCCACAAAATCAAAATTTGAAACTTAAACAAATAAGCAAACCGACTCAACTGGGACACTCGCAAATCCTGCCCTCATATTTTTGCAATTAATATAATAACATTGGCATAATTAGTAAAACGCGCAGCGTGCGAATTTATGAATTTCGCCGTAACCCAATTATTTAAAATGCGAACAACGCCAACAGTCCAGTAAAGCGAAGCTCAAATTACGCATGGACATGGCGGCAACTACGCCTCGTCGTCTGAATTATCAATTAAAAATAATAATAACAAACACGAACAAAGTTAACAAAATACGAATTAGTTTACATGCGGGTGCACATTGGGGAGGCTGTCTTTACCCTATAAGTTTCATGTGGGCTTTAAATAGTCACCAATTCTAATAATAAATAAGTAAACATTTAAGTTTAAAATGTTAATTAAAGTTACAAATAAAGTTATATTAAACTCTAGGGGAATAATTAAAGTGAAAAATATATAATTAATAAAAGGTATAATATCAATCGTTGTACTACGGAAAAGCGATAAGAAATAAATAAATGTCAAATACGAGTTTCAAGTGAACGGAAAACATATTTGATTATTATACTCTGCAAACTGGTAACAGGGTATATTCTAATCGGGAATACTTAACGTGTTTGGTCGCTGCAGCTCCGTGAATATATTGCCAAATATTGGGCATGGCCATTGGTGATTACGAATATAATTTCTGCATGGTGAATTGCGATGCGTTCAGTTTGCATTGGGATCGCCAGCAACCACAATTCACATGGATTTTTGCCGTTAAGCATTTCATTTAAATTATGTTAATACTGCAACTGACCAAATGACCGACCGATTGTCAATGCAAATTAAATTTACAATCAACGTTTTGACTCTCTGCGTGCCTCTGGCTTATCATTTATAACATCCACTTGCACAAGTACACTTATTATAATAAAATCCACAATTGTTGTCCACCCTGTCAAGCTGACTGCATGTTACATCGATGTGTGACAATATTCGGGTTACTTAAAGCACTTAAAACTCATTAAAATACTTTAATCAACAGGTTATATAAAAATATAATATTTATATTTATAATAAAATTATACAAATAATTTAAGCTATTTTTATTATAATATATTTGTTTACTAAAGTTGTCACTGGCAAATGTGCAAATCGCAAGGCCCATTAACAAATATTTAATATTCAAGAAACATTTTTGCATGCCAAAATAATATTTACATAATTTAGACAAAAAAAAAAAAAAAACATTTCAATACTTGAATTCCAAGCAGAATATTGAAATATAAAATGAAAATGTTAATTAAAAATATTTGATATTAAAAACTCACGATTCTTTTCAACTTTTCTTAACTTTCTTTTTATTTGATTCTGCTTACAATAGGGAAAACGAATATTTGGATATGTTTAATATTAATATTAAACATATGTTTAAAGATTTAGGTGAACATATGAGTAAAGATATGGATGGTAGTTTTTGTGATGTAATATCAATTTCATGGCAAACTCGTTGCACCTTTTCTGTTGTGTTATACAAATTATGAAAAACTTATAGCACTCACTCTGAGGTCATCAAATTGTAATAAGCACTAGATGCAGCTGCCGATATCACACAAAAATTAAAAAGGTGCTTTATAATCCCAGCAAGAATCCATTATGCCAACCATTTGTTATGAAATAGGCTTGGCAGTTAGTTAATACACTTATTATTATAAAATGAGTATAAATACATGAATTAATAATCATTTTCATTCATTCAGTAACTAAAGAACTTTTGATAAAAAATTATATGATTCATATTATATCCATAAATAAACCATTAATTGTTTAAATAAATGCAGCAACAATTAATACTCCATAATTAGACTGCGCAAATAAATGAATGCAAAAGAAAACCTAATGCAATCATTGACCCCAAATGAATAAACCAAAAGCATATTTAAATAAAATATGCAAATAATGACATACATACTTAATCACATACATACATATACATAATTGCTAACAAACAAGCATATTTCTCTTTTTAAATAATTTATATACATTTTGCTGTTTAACAGCAATGCACATATTCTATTTAAAATCAAATTTACTTTAGCACGCTATGTACAGAATTAGTAAGTATATAAGACATGCATATTTATATATAAATACTTTTGTTATATATGCATACAAAATATGTACATACACACGTACATTTATATATATAAATATACATCAAATGAATCGGTTCACACATACCGAGAAAAGACAGAAAAATTCTGGAATAAATGCAGCCGGCGGCTGACTTTTCACAGTTTGGCTAAAACATAAACAAGTAAAGTCGGAAAAACGAAAAATCATGTTCTAAATATAAACAAAATCGCTCATTAGCAGCGTCCCGAAGAGCCACGAATACCAGATAGATATAAAGCGAGAGAGAGAGAGAGAGAGAGAGAGAGAAAGAAAGAAATAGAGAAAGAGAGCGAAAGTTGTGGAGAGCAATTGAAATGCATAGGTTGTCTTAAGTGAATCGTCATTCGCTCGATTTAAATTGATTTTCATATTGTATGCATTTAGATATACCCAAAAAATTATAACAAAGAAATAGATATGGCATGGCGAAAACTATATGCTCTAATAACTTTAAATTAATAGATTCTCTTCAAAATATATACATATAAGATGGAAAACGAATAATTAAATAATTAATATATGTTTGTAAGTAAATAAAACAGAAAATCACTTAACATTATTAAGATTTTGATCATAACACTAATATTATTTAAAAACTTGACAAATTAATCAGTTGATGATGGCTTTCGACAAACGTTAACGTTTTGACAACGTTTAGGAAAAACAAGAAAAATATTATAATTAAATACAATAAATAAATGGCGAGTGACAAGTTGCTTGATAAACAGATTTGGCCCTCCTTTGTACAAGTGTTTTCGATTGTAAAAATAAAATTCGTGTAGGTTTTGCGGGCCATGTCCAAAAGACATTTGAACAGCAACAGCTGCGGCAACTTTGGAAATTTTCAAAAAAGCAAAAGCAACAGAATCGTTTGCGAGTCGGAACGATTTTCCCCAAGATTTTCCCTGATCAGCGATCAGTCCGCGAGAGTGCGTCGTCGAGCGAGGAGGCCCCAAGAACCCAAAAATAATAAAATATATATAAAGACGGAAAACCGGGAATAGTGTGTGTGTGTGTGTGTGTTATTGTGTGTGTGTGCGTATAGCCAAGTGAAAGTGTGCAAGTTATTTATAGAGCGCTTGCACATATAGACGCACATACAAAGCGTATATGCTTTATCGAGAAAAGTTCACATACACACATCGTTGATCATAGTATATAGAGGCAGAGGCAGAGGCAGTTGCATCAACGAAACTCGACAGAATGACGGACGTGCCGGAGCCCGTGCGCAAGTGCGCCACTTTGTTGAAGGGCACACGCAGCGATACTGAAAAGTTTGCGGCCCTGTTCATGGTCACGAAGCTGATGAAGGGCAAGGACTGCAATACGGCGGGCAAGCAGCTGCTCTTCGAGGCAATTGGATTTCCGTTTCTGCGCAAGCTGCTCGTCTCCAAGGAGCTGCCCAGCGATTGCCCTCCACTCGTCTACAAGAGTGTCGCCCTATCGATTTTGACTGGCTTCTGCCAGGAGGAGGAACTGGCCACGCACAAGGATATTATCGGTGCCATACCCACACTGCTTGAGATTGTGGAGCAGGCTGATGACGAGGACTACGAGGATAATCTGATTGTGGTGAGCGAGTCGTACAGTTGCCTCAAGAGCATTGCCAGCTATGAGCCGGGTCAGCAGGCACTCCTGGCGACCGGAGCCATACCGAAGATGTCGCAAATCTATTCGGCGCAGAGTTTCCAAACGGATGAGGCTCTACATCTGATTGTGCTGTTGGTGAAGAAGTTTGGCGTGGCCTCTTGGCCGGAAGATCCCACAGCCTTCCATGCGCTCATCCAGCGCATTGCCCTCGACATGGAAACTGATCACACGGAACGCAAATACGAACTGTGTCGCATTCTCGCCGATATCCTGGTCACCTGTAGGCGCGAGATTGTGGTCAACTCGCTGGAGGGCCAAATCTGGCCGGAGAGCCTCTTCAAGGGCTGCGGCGACATACTGAAGGCCAAGATTGGGCCCAAACAGCGTGATCCGGCACTGCATTTGATTGCCAACACGCTGCAGGTGCTCGGCATGCAGTGGGTCTTCATGGACGAGCAGAAGCAGTTCTTCCTTATGCTGCTCCAGCTGGCGGCCATCGAGGTGCGCATGCAGATGGACGAGAAGAAGCTGGAGACGACCTTCAAGCAGGCAGACTTGCTCACCTGCTGCTTTGTCATACTCGAACAGTGTATCGAGTATATGGCCACCGATCAGTTGGATCTGGAACCGAAGGAGAAGCAGACCACGTACACGGCGCTCAAGGGTGCGTTCAATCAGGTGCTCGCTGTGCTGACTCGTGTCAGCCAGGACAAGATCAAGGACAATGGCACTGCACGCGATAAGTCCTTCATCGTTGCCCAGGTGCGCATCCTTTCCGCCTGGCTGGCACAGGAGACGACAGCCATGCGTCCGGCAATCTACAAGCTGTTGCCCTTCATGCTCAAGATTGGCAACGATAGCTTCCACGAGTTGAAGACTTGGCGTGCCGGGTCCCGTGAGGGTGCTCGTCCAGTGGATGTGTTGCGTGTGATGATGCCTGCCCTATGCCACTTTGCCGTGGAGGATGAGGGACGCCGGGTGCTCTTCACGCATAAGCAGGACGAGGTGCTGCTGGAGTCCATTGAGCTGTACTTCAGCATTGCCCACTGGAAGCGTCCGCCCATCCCACGTGCGGAGCGACTGAAGCGCATGAATGAACCGGATCCAGTACCGACTCCAGAGCAGCAGGCGGAAATGAAGGAGGCACGTGCAGCAATTGTTGCCCTGTGCAACATTCTGATGAATTTTACGGTGCTGGAACCCAAACGTGCCGAGGATGCGCCCACTTTTGTCAATCTGCTCAAGTTTGTGGTGGAGAATCTGCCCGAGCTGAAAGATACGCCCGATAACCTGGTCATTCATGGCAATCTGTCTGTGCTGGGCCTGCTGCTGCTCAAGCAGCAGTCCAAGAAGGTCAAGCAGAACGATTTCTCCATTTGCCGTTACATTCAGGCGACAATTCGATTCCTCTGGGATGCCTACAACATCGATGAGAGCAACGATCCCACGGCTCTGGTTGTCTCGATTGCCTACAAGGGCTTCTGGTCGGACATCTCTGAATTGTGGTTCCTCGGCATGCAGACCATGTGCGGCGTTCTGCCCCTGGTACCGTGGATATCCGAATTCGCTCTCGAATCCGGCTGGGCCGAGGGCATTGTGAAGACACTCAAGAAGGTGAAGATCGGTACACTCCCAGCGAATGTGAAGTCGGCATATGAGGATTTCTTGTCCCAGCTGGTGGACATCAATGCCGATGTTGTCGCTGTGCTGAAGAAGAATGATGCTTTGCGCGTCTGCCGCAATCACAGGATGATGGATCTGGGCAAGAAGCTCTTTGGCGATTAGAACTACTACAGCTATAGAGATTTATACTTTAGGAAACGTTTCCTCAACTATTTTTGTATGAGCTTTTGTTTTTTTATATATATATTATACATACATACATTTTATTCGGTGTATTCTCTCTCTCTCTCTCTCTCTCTCTGTCTCTCATTCTCTCTCAATAATGATCTGTCACTTTCTATTTGCGTGTGTGTGTGTGCTTGTGTGTGTTGGCGTGATGTCACGCATTTTATTTGATATACCACAAAATGTGCTTGCCGAAAATGAAGCAAACTGGAACTACTTATTTTGAATGCACTTTCATGCCGTACTCACAACTATTTTAATAATTTAAAATCACTTAAGATGAAAATAAATGTGAAGCAATACAAATAAGATGACTAAAAACGAGAATTACAATAAATTTCACTTTCAAAACAATCGCCAGCTGCCTGCCATTCATTCAAATTTGGGTGCCCCATATATATATATATGTGTCCGTTTCATATAGTAGTATAGAAAAACATTTATTTATATAGTATGTTGGCTTAGTTTTATATTTTTTATTTTTTTGTATTTCTGAACTGAAAACACAACACGTCATAATTCTGTTTTGTCGACAAGTACAAGCTTGACGAAATAAAATAAGAACAGTTTCCGTGTTTAATGAATTGGCAACATTAACTTTCTTCTACTTCCTGATAATGATTATATTATTATTAATGATTATGATGTTCACATTTCGCATATGCAAACATTTTAGATTGCTCATTTCTTCGATAAGGAACTGAGTGATTTCCCATTTCCATACTCGATCTCTAAAGCAGACAGCATTCAAATTATAATATAACAAACAATGTTATTTAGTTTTGAATTTCAGAAATGATTATTATTATTCTGTAAATAAGAGTTTGCATTTTTGCATTTTAGAAGCATTTTCTCATAATAAGAAATGTATTTCAGAATAAAAAGTCTTTCTTTTCATATTTAGATAAACAAGATAAACTATCAAGGTTTTCTTTTTCTGAGTGAATATAACATTCAAATAATATCAGATATTCCATATAAAGTCCTATAACCAGATTAGAGATATCAAAATATAATAATCCTTTTATTTCAAACGGTAGATTCATGCCTGATTATCAATGGGTGCCCATTGAAGGCAGCAATGGCATCTTTTAGCACTCCTTCGCAGCGTATACGTAATATGCACAAGTCAAACAGATTGTTAAAACAACGGCTACGAACGAAAGATGAAGGACATCAGGAGCAGTAGCAGCAGATGCACAGCCAGCTAAAGCCGTCGATAAATCTGCTATAAATCTTAAGACATTGCGACAATTTTCCAAATTGTGCGTGTGTGTGTGAGTGTGTGTGTAAGTGTGTGTTCGACAATCGCAGGCAACTTTTATCCTCTCATGCTGTCGACAGGCTCAGGAAATATTACACAAAATGTATTGCTCAATCGCTTGATAACGAACGGACCAACATGTTACTCCTCGTCCGGCTTCTAGGACAGGGTCGTTGCCGTGTGTTTGCTTTTTATTACGATATAATATTTTATTGTATACTTTTAGACATTTGAATATTTAGCCGAGCGCCCGCACGCAGTCCGAAATTGGAGCGGCAAAGGACCCAAGTGCCGGTTGGCTCTACCTTTCGCACAACCCTTTTTTTTTCGTTTTCTCTCTTTTTTTCCTTTGCCTTTCCCAACATGCCAAAATGTGTAAATTTGTTGGGGACGTTGCTGGTTGGCTTGTGCCCTGAGACAGTTTCAATGTGGTGTGCGGTGCGATGCGGTGCGGAGCGGTGAGGTGAGCTGCGGAATGGGGTATGAGGTGGGACATGGGTGTGCTTAGAGCGCTGTGGATTTCAGCTATTTGTGCATTTGACAAAGGTAATAAAAAAGGACGTTTGGCTTTTGGCGTCGACTGCTTGTTGATGTTTACCCAGCCTCTGGCTACAAAATATTTTTCTATGTGTCCCAGTCGACTGTTTTGTTTTTTTTTTATTTTTCTACTTGCTTGGGTCTTAAAGATACCTTTTATAGTTTTAAGCATGTCTGAAACAATTTTGGTTTGCTTATCATCGAGCAAAATGCTTGTAAACTTCAAAATTGGTATACACAATTTTTATTAAAGTAAAACCCCTTAAAAATGTATTAAGCTAAGTACTTTCATTGAGATAATTATATTATTTACAAAAAAATAAAAATTTTCTTAATTTTAAAGCTTACAATTTAAAGCTTAATTATTTTATTTCTAAATTTGTATATAGTCCGATATATTTCATATACCGTCGCGATTCATTTTCAGGGAGATATTCATAGCGCCTGACGAGTCATCTGTGGAGTTTGAAAAATAGAAAAGGAACCTTTCTACTTTTTAGCCACTTTTCCCACTCTATAAAATTCAGGAGTATTTTCTTATGTGTGTATGTATATAGAATATTTTAGAAAATCGGGGTAGAACTCTTCTTGAATTACTAATTGTTTACTGAGAAAAGTATGGCACCTAAACACAAACATAATGCTGCAAAGTCAATAGAAAAACACGTATTGAATGAGCGATTCATTAGAACAGTAAATGCGTTAATCAGTCATGAAAAAGAGTTTGTATGTGTGAGTGAGTGTTCTTGCAACGTTGCCATCCAACTGAGCTCGCATCAGCAGTCAGTGGCAGCAGGAGGCAGGAGCAGGAGAACGAGGAGTGCAACTAGTTGAAGTTATCTTGATTGCAATTAGTAGCCTTCTCATACATTGTTGCTGCGTTAATGAAAAGAAAACAAAAGAAATTGCTCGTCTTTATGCCCAGCCAACATTTACCGTTGCTTTTTGTGTGGCAGCTGCTGCTAATGTTGCTGCTGTTGACGTTATTGTTGTTGTTGTTCTTGGTGCTGTTATTGTTGTTGTGGATGGCACTTTATGCAAGTCGTTTGCCATTGTCATTTTCTTGATAAGTCCTTGCAACTTGGCTAATCATTTTAAAGCAGACAACTCACTAAGCTGTTCTCTCAAGCAGCGCTTATTCATGACGAAGGCAAGTTAATGCAGATTATGCTTACATCAATTCAAACTTCGTGGTTGTCAGTTGTGTGTCAAGTGGCATGAACATGGCCCTTTGAGCATTGATTAATCTTGATGATGGAATGAAGTCTACAACTGGATCACTGGTCGATGATGCATTCTGAAATGATTCAATTTTGCACTCTATTGGTTTTAACAGAACTTTGTGACTGATAGCACATATGGCAATATAAATGCATATGTTCATCTAAAACCTTCGAAAACTATCTTTGGATATGGATGCAGCAGTAAAATTACATCTTTTAAATTAAAAGGAAAAGTTTCGAAAATTTGTATTTAAGTAGGTATCAAATGTAGTTTAGTAATTTACAAATATTTTAATCGAACACATTAGCTGGAATTCTATCGATATAATAGTCAAAACATAGACCAACAAAGTCTGAGAAAAATAACACATTAATAGGAGATTAATAGCAGCAGTGGCTGGCTGAAAGTCTTTTTTGGTAAATGATGTTTAGTTGCAACATGTGAAGGAATCTAGTTAATTGTTGTGCGTCTACTGCATACAACATATACAGCATTGGTAAAAAAAAAACTATGAATTTACATATTGGGTCTACTTGTTAATTTTGCCAGCTAAATTTTATTAAAATATATGACAGATATGCGAGACCAAAAGCCCAAACGGCTGTCTTGCTGAGAACACATCTATTAACTATCAGCACTGACATTAATTATTTTACAACACTAAAAACTCTTCGCGTTGTGATTTAGAAATAAAAAAATTGAAGTGAATCAAAACTCCATTTATTTTTAGTGCGCTAAAGCGATATGTGTGTATGAATATGTGTAAGTACATAATCATAAAATGAAATAGTTGCATAATCAACTGTTTTCAACAACATTCCAAATTTCAGCGTTGAAATCGAGCGAGTTCCCCATTCGAGCACAAGACAACAACAACAAAGCTGTGATGGCAGGGATTTCATGTGATTTTGATTGCCAGGATATTCAATTGTCATTGCCACTTGTTGGCAGCCAGCAGTTGCGACTGCTGTCCAAAGGGGAGCTGCAAAAAGCAATCGCACTAAGTAAAAAGGGTGGAAAATGCGCGCACGAGTAAACGCGTTTACTTGCAGAGCTCCGACCAGCATCAGGACCATGACCAGCCGGACGGATCCGGACCCGATACCCGGGGCTGCCGGAGCAGCTGTAATAATGTGAAAATAAAGAAAATCCTGCTCGCAAATTTCCAATTGGGTCCAACAGAGTTCCCGCGCTAAGTGTCATAATTGAGGGTGAAAATAAAAGCAAACTGGATATTGGTTTGATGCAGAAAACGTTTCCAAGAAACTACATTTTATTAAAAACTTGCTACAACCATCCGCACCCCACCCCCTTTGTCCTCAATCGAAGTGAATTGAAATTAATTCACTCTTCATATGCTACTGCCCCAGCTGGAGGCAATCAGAGTATCACGCAGCTGCAAGTAATTCATAAATTATTCAAGGCACTTGACAACTGCTACCGGCAAATGTTGCTGTCTCTCTGCCTTCCACTACAGATACTAGTGTCATTGTCGAATAACACGTGTATTTGACGTGTTAGGTTAATGGTTGCCCCCACCTGGCAGTTTCTAAGAATCTTGTCAATTATAATTTTTTATGATTTTTCATGTTTTCGTGACCTCTTTAAATAATTCAAATAGTTTATAAGAAATTTAAAATGATATTGTAAAAAACTTATTATTTATTATTATTATTAAGGATAGTTGATAGTCAATAGGTTTCTTTATGCAATACCAACAGGTATTTAACCAAATAAAGTTAAACAAAGTGAGTGCCACAAATTTTAATGATTTACAAATTAAAATCATCTTGTTCCAAAATGTAATATCGAAGAGAGAGAGAAAACCTTAATCAAAGTCGCGAAACTTTAGAGAATATAAATATTCCCACTGCGGGGGAGGGAGACGAAACCCGTTAATTAGTTATCCATTGAAATAAGTGCGTCAGGTGTGCTTTGTCTGCCACGTGCCCCTACAACACAAGCATAGCTGACCTTGAGGAGCATTTCGGTGTGATCAATGAGCAGGCATGCCACAAATTTTAATGGCTATCAATTTTCAGCGATTCATTGAACTTGGGTTATCAATTGCAGGCAGCCGCCTTGCTGCTGGTAATTAAATTTGTCATAACGTCCAGATGCCAACATTTTTGAGCGAAAACTGAGAGTAACTGGGGGGATTGTGTCGAGGAGGGGGGAGGTATCGAGCAAAATCACGCGCATTTTAAGACTGACGCCTAAAAACAGGCAACAATTTCTGCCGAAACGGAAGATGTGCACAGAGAGCGAGAAAAAAAAGTTTCACCAACGCCATGCGATGCTCTCTTAAATTACATTTCTCTCTTACACA